TCCACCGGGCATACTTGGTGAATTCCAGGCGAGAATTCAGCAACAAAATCTACCAATGCTTGTGCTTTTATGACTGTTCAGGGTTGAAACTTGATGTCGAATTGTCCCAATTCGACCGCCCACTTCAGGATTCGACCGGAGAAATCCGCCCGCTCGAACAAGGCTTTGAGGGGGAATTCAGTCAACACGACGATTGTGTGAGCATGAAAGTAGTGCGCCAATTTCCTGGAGGCCATCATCAATGCCAAAGCAAGTTTTTACAGCGGCAAATACCTCGACTCTGTCGGTAGCAGGGTTTTGCTCACGTAAAAGATAGGGAAATGCTAGATACCTTCTGACCGGACAAGCACCGCACTAACTGCATGCTGAGAAATTGCCAGATAAAGGTAGAGTTCTTCGCCGGGCTTGGGTGTCACCAATAAGGGGGCAGAAGACAAATACGCCTTGAGCTCGGCCAAAGCCCTGTCACATTCCTCATCCCATGAAAACTTGGACTTCAAGGCTCGAAAGAAAGCGCGGCAGCAATCTGATGACCGGCTTATGAATCGGTTAAGCGCGGCGGCCATACCGGCCAGATGTTGCACGTCCTTTGCCGAGTTGGGCTGCTTCAATACTTGTATGGCTTTGATTTGTGTGGGGTCCGCCTCGATGTCTCGGTTTGTGACTAGGAAGCCCAGGAATTTCCCGAATCCCACGCCGAAGGCACACTTTGACGCATTCAGGCGTAGCTTGTACTGTTTAAGAATGGCGAACATCTCGGCTAGGTCGGATAAGTGGCCGGCCTGATGCCTGCTTTTGACCACCATGTCATCGATGTTAGCCTCCATCGTCCGGCCTAGCAGAGGAGCAAACATTTTGGTCACCATCCTTTGGAAAGTCGCCCCGGCGTTCTTCAAACTAAAAGGCATGACTCGATAGCAGAATAGTCCCCTTAGGGTGGTGAAAGAGGTTATCTCGCGGTCGGAGCCATGCATGGCGATCTGGTGATAACCGCGATAGGCATCCAAGAAACTGAGCCTGTTATGCCCGGCCGTAAGATCCACCAGCTGGTCTATTCTGGGCAGAGGAAAGCTATCTTTAGGGCAAGCTCGGTTGACAGTCTTGTAGTCAACGCAAACTCGCCACTCCCCATTCTTCTTGGGTACTACGACCGTGTTTGAAACCCCCCGAGGGTAATGCACTTCCTGGATAGCCCGTGCTTCTAACAGGTTCCTCACTTCCTCCGCGACTACCTCGGCGTGGTGAAGAGCCAATCTCCTCGCTCTTTGAATGACAGGGCGTGCATCCGGGAAAACATTGAGTTGGTGGCAAATAAAGCTTGGATTAACGCCAGGCATGTCGTACGGCGTCCATACGAAGACTTCGATATTCGTCATCAAGAATTCTATCATCTCGGTCCTTTCTTGGGCGGTCAGGCTTGACCCTAGCAGAAAGAACTTGTTTGGACTTTCGGCGTCAATCCGCACTTCCACCAACTCTTCAACAACCTTGTCCTCGGCCTTGGCGCCCACATCATCAAGGACACTCTGGTCTTCCGGTCCTTCAATCATTTGCACGAAGCCTTTGGCAGCTCGGCTCCTATTCACTGCCATGAAACATTGCTTCGACATGACTTGATCGCCCCAAATTTCCTCAACTTCCCCCATAGCCGAGGGGAACCTCATAACCTGGTGGCATGTGGACGCTACTGCCTGCATAGCATGAAGCCATCCCCCACCCAAGATCAGGTTGTATGTGTACGGTACCTTCAATACCCAGAACTCCACCTGCTTGACCACGGATCCGGCTTTGACTGGTAAGATTATCTTTCCCATAGGCTACTCCGGTTATGAGTTGAAACCAACCAGTGGTGAGGTTGCCGGAGCCAAGTCTGTATCCCGGAGTTTGAGTTGCTTGAACGCATCGTAGTACATAATCTCAACCGAGCTTCCTTGGTCATTCAAGATGCGCTTGACATCGAAGCTGACACGGAGGGTGACTACTAGGGCGTTGTTGTGCGGCGTTTGAATGCACTCTAGGTCCTTAGTTGAGAAACTAATCACATCTTTCTTCTCGGTCTTCTCCCTTTTGATCGCGGGCTGAACTGACAAAACTTCCCTCATGTGTTCTGCCTTTTTGATCATTCCTCAAAGCTCGCATACACGCGCCGGCTCCACTATGCCGTGAATCACATTGACCACTCCTTAAGGGGGCGCCTCTAAGTCATCTGAACCACTCGGATCAGCCGGGACAGGATGCGCGGCTCTAACGCCCCCATCGATGTAAAGGTCTAAGAGATCGATGTAAAGGTCTAAGAGACCGGCTGCGACTAACTCTTCTAAGTGTTGCTTCAAAGGCAAACAGTCCTCTGTCCAGTGTCCTCTCTCCCTATGATATGTGCAGCGGTACCGTGGATTTAAGCCCTTTTGCGCATTGCCTAACTTAGCAGGAAACCGGACGTAATCCTCGTCGCGGATTTCACTAAGTATGCGATAGATTGGAATCTTAAATACCGTGGTGATGCCTGTCCGAACGTTCAACCGTCTGTTAGCATCAGCTGCGTCATCGCGGGGATATTCTGCTTGGTCATTGCGGTGACCTCTACCCCGATTTCTATGATTTGGTCCACGGTCAGATTCCCCGGCGCGATCATTTGGACGGTTAGTCTCCTGTCCGACCGCGTGTACCTTACCAGCCGTCCTTTTGTCTGTTGCCATCGGATTTATCTTCGCGGTGGATGCCGCCGCATCATCCTCTACTCGGAGGTGCTCATTGATGCGTTGCATTAGTTGGCCCATGGACGTCAACTAGTTCATTGTAAGCGAGTCCCTCAGCCTATGCCCGACCGGGAGACCGTACTTATATTGGGTGATTGCCAGGTTGATCGAACAATCTAGGATCTCGTTGAAGGTTTCCTAGTACCTAGAGTTGTATGCCTTGAGGGTGTCACTCAACTCCATCTTGACACTCAGAAGGCGGTCCACTTCCTTTGGCGTTTTTGTGTTGGTTTTGAAACAAGTCACGAATGCTTCCGCCAACTGTTGCCACCTCTCGATGCTCTCTTCTGGGAGTCTCTCAAACCATTTCAAGCCCAGTTCGCCCAAACTGGATGGGAAAATAAAGCACATCAGAGCATCATTACGCCTGTGTCCAACCATGACCTGTCGGAAGTGGCTTACATGCATGCACGGATCGCTTTTTCCGTCGTAAAGTGTAAACTTGGGCAGGTGAAAGCCTATTGGGAGCGGCGTGGTCTCTATTTCAAGGGAGAAGGGGGAGGCGTTCAGCCTCGCCAAGTCAGTGTCCAAAGGGACTGGTATGGCTAAACGGGGCGGCGGCATCATAACCTCCTCACTATGGTGGCCTCCGTAAGATAACCACTGGAGCACCAGCACCCTTTCAGCCTCCTGTCGACGAGCTCGCTCTTTCAAGACGTCCCTCAAGTCCTCTGAACGGACGGAGTAAGAATATCTCGACGTGGTCGACGGACGTGAGGGGTGGTAAGTACTATCTTGAGCGCTAGACTTTCACTGTGGTCTCCTACTCCAGCAACACCCTTCCCTTTGACCTGTCGTTTGAGAGCTTCCATCTCTGCCGCCATTCTCTGGATGACGATGTCTTGGTTTCTTAACTTGTGCTCCAGACGTCGAGCATGCGATTCTCTTCGCCGTCGATTTCCGTCTGGGCTCCGTGAGCGACCAAAACTTCTAGCGTGCTTATCTCATGCATCTCTCGGAAGTCCTCCTGGGGAGGTTTCCAGGTCCGCCATGTTCGGAACGGCTGGGAGTCCGTCTCTCCGTCTGGCTGACTCTGGGGTAACACCGTCAATGGAAAACAACGGTATTTCGTCGTTGTTTGCCATGGAAAGCAATCAGATGAGCTTGGAGGACAAGGATGTGTCTGCAAAACTTCCCACAGACGGCGCCAATTATACGGGGAGATATACGTCGCTGTCCGTATTCCTTTCGTCCAAGCTCCGTGTCTATCCGATCAACTTGAAAACACAACGGCGGTGAGCTACCCGGTGGTGTGTTGCCGGAAAACCCCTCCGACGGTCAAGTTAGCACACTCAGAGAGAGAGAGAGAAGCTAAATGAATGTTAAGTTTCTCTCACCAATTGATGTTCCATCCTCAGCATGGGGGGCGCAGTCATGCTTGTATACTTTCTGCGCTCACCTCTGCACCCACTCGTCTATTGGCACGTGGAGCTGCTCTCCCATCTGTCAGCGCAAATCCAGCTAAACACCACCTAATCAAACCGCCAGACAACATTAGCGGGAATGGGACAGCTTGGCAGCATCACCTCAGCCTCCTACGATCGTGCTACGTAACGAGTCCGACGGCGCCACTCGCCGAGCTCCATCACAACCGAGCTCAGTAGCATTCCGGTACGACTGAGCTCCAGACAGATTAAGCCGGTATTCAGAAGACCTTTCCCCCCAAGCTAAATGTACGAACAACGAAACCCGGGTTGGTCAACAATCACCTCAGCCAAGTTAGCTCAGCCCAAACTTGGGACCTGGGACTCGACCGAGAAAACCAAATCTGGATAGGCCCAAGTTAGTTCAGCCCAAACATGGGGCCTGGGCCTCGACCGATCAAACCAACTCTGGAAAAGCCCACGTTAGTCCGACCCAAACACGCTCAGACCTCTCTCTGCCCGGCTTCTACTACGGCCCAAAGCCAAATTATAAATCTCTCTCTCAGTTGGGTATAGGTTGAGTAAAAGTTTACACAGATCAACACAACAGCTAACAGTATCTGCTTTGGATACAAACATAAAACATGTATCAAATTGCATTCTGACAAAAACATACATCTCATTAAATCGCATATCTGATATGATGAACTTAATCTCAAGCTGATTAAGGGTTAGAGGGTGATGGATTATTTGGGTCGCTAGACTAGATTTCAGACAAGTAATGAGTAATTTACCCTCAATTTTAAGTGAGTTGTCGAGGCCTACAGGTTAATGGAGTAAAGACTATATTCTAGACCAGTACTAACCCCTGACCAGTTACCTTAACTGCAGTTTCAACGAGATTTACAAGTCCAATGGGCAATTTAATCCAAACACCATTCTTGCCCTGTAAAATACAACAATCTAGCAAGTTAGTTCAAAACCAACAATTCAGGCTTCTGTATTTCATACTAATACAAATTATTTGACCACATGAAAATCAAAACTTTTTGGCATGGCTTATTAGGGAGAAACCCTCCACGACTAAGTTTTGTCTCATGGGGACCAATATAGCCTTTGTTTGGATATGCTCCTCTTATGTTTCAAATCAGGTTTTAAAGAGTCATGAAGCCAGTTGGCGCAAGAAAAATCTTTTATGGTTTTAGAAACGTATCTACAGCTGCAACTGTTTCCCTCAATGAAAAGACCAGATCCTGTAATTTTATTTTATTTTAATTTTTTTATCACAGATATGTAATAGCAATTAACAAACAATTCGAGTAAACTTGTTATATTTTCATATCCCTTAAAAAAATTCACCTGTTATTACTAATCAAACTGAAGTTAACAAAACGATTTCACATATTAAAGTAACAAAGCAAGCATCAATTCATTCTTAAGGAATATGACCTGTTGCTTCCACTGTGATATTGAAGCCCTGAGCAGAGAAAGAAAGGCCTTGGAATCCATAGGTTCCTTCATTTCCACTATTACACCTCCATGATCATCATTAACAGCAAAAAGTAATTCAACCTGTTGAACTCCATTTTCAGCAACCACTTGGTCCATTAAACCCGAGACTTATCTGATCGTAAATGAGCACCAGCTGAATAAACATGAAAAGCATGAGATCAGCTACACCAAAAATAAATATTTTTTTTCCTCTATTTGATTTTTCAACTTCCAATCATTCCAAAATCAACTCAACAAATTGAAGATTTATGAAAGACCCATAATATAAGGTTTCTAGCTTAAGCAAGCCCAGATTATGTAATTCTCTCGTCTTAGCTGAGCTAAAAATTTCAGTAGCATTTGAACTACCAGCAGATAAATAGGTAACTAAAGGCATAATTATAATAACTGTCCACCAGGTAAATGGTTTCTCATCTCAAAATTCCTGTATGAAGGCACAGTGAATTGGAAAAACCATTCAAATCACCATTGAAGTCCATCCATAAATTCACAATTAGCATGTTAAGCTTTCTCTTCTACACATTTTTGTTATTTCTAAAATAAAAATTCATAAGAAGCAAATCTAACAAAAATTATCAAATCACCATTGAAGTCCATCCATAACTTCACAATATTAGCATATGATAAGCTTTCTCTTCTGTACATTTTTGTTATTTCTTAAAAAACTAATCTAACATAAAAATAAAATAAAAAATAAAAACTCACAGATTGGCTTGAAATTGCAATTAATCAGAAAAATGTCAGATAGAATCAAAACCTAAAACATGAATCCATTAGAAACTTCGTCGATCAATGGAAAGTCCCTCCGTTTGTTTTGCCAAAAAAAATATAAAAATCGGGAAAACACATCACTTGCAAATGCAAATTTAAACTTTCTCGAGAAAATTGAAGGCAGTATGAAAATATTTTCTATCAAAACAAACAAATGTGAGTATACCTTTTCGTTGGTAATCCGCTGACTTCAAGCTAAGTATAACTACCACTGCCAGTGATGGATTGAGATATATATAGAGTCATAATGTGTGGACAAAACTAATCTGCGCCGAGTGTGTCACGATGCGCACCAGCTAATGAGCGCACTTGGCGCGTCATTTGGGTCACACTCTCACAGTTGCGCGTCATTTGGGTCACACTCTCACAGTTAAGCCGCCCTCAGTGAAAAAAATTATTAGTTGGTTCAGATCGCACGTTACGTTAGATCAATCACAAATCATCTAATCCAAATTATGGGTTTTAGGGTGGGGCGCGGGTCAATGGTAGTCACGAAACTTTCAATTTATCATCTGTTTGTCAGATTAACGGATTTGAAAAAATTAATCCGCATCCGTCTGTCAATTCGGCGGATGTAAATTGAGCAGATTTGCGGTTTGACAGATGGATGCGAATCGGTTTGGCGATTTAAATTTTTATAAATTTTTAACGTAATTCAACTTGTACACTTCTTTAAAAAATAAATAAATAAATAAATAAATAAATATTACAGCCAATGACTTAAAAAAATATTACAATCACTGCATGCCTCATCCAAGAAAGTTTGAAACTTTAGAATATCACAATCACTGCATGTCTCATCCACATAAAATATTACAATCTGTGATTCTTAAAATATAAAAACAATTCAAACCACCAAAACTATTAACAGAGCAGTATAGATTGTATGTCTCTATATTGTTATATCTATATCTATTTTTTAAAACAAAAACCAACCAGCATTTATCATATTTTCTATTTATTATTTTTAGAGATAGATTTAAAAATCAAAAAATATAGATAAATAATACATTTATTTTTTTCAATTCAAAAAAAATATTTAAGTTGAAAAAAAAAATCAACAGAATATTTAAATTCTTTTTTAATTGAAAACATAAACAGAATATTTAAACAAACTGAAAACATAAAGTCTTATAAATTACTAGGGGTGCTTGCGATTTGGCGGTTCGATTGCAGCCAAAGAAATCTCAAATCTGTCATCCGTCCGCCAGATTGGCGGATTGGAGAAAATCAATCCGCAACTGTCCGCTCGTCATCACGCATTTGTCCAAAATGCGACAGATCGATTCGATTCAATTCGGTTCAGTTCAGTTCGGTTCGATTTGATTCGATTTTAGCGGATCAGTATATCCGCTGCTCACCCCTAATGGGTTTCATTCACCTCTCCACCAACTACAATGAATGAAGAACACTACGTGACGCTATTGGTTAGTCCATCATGTGATTCGTTTCCATAAATCACAATGAATGAAGAGCATCACGCGTCGCTATTGGTTAGTCCGTTACGTGGTGCTCAATGCACATTATGATTGGTAAAGATATGAAATCCATAATTTTGTATTAATTAATCAAAAATATGAGAGAATGATGGTTTGTAATTGACTAGAGAGATATAGGGTTATTTTGGAAATATAGTTAAAAATAATTTGTTAGTCTTTTTTTTTTTTTTCAATATGTAAAGATGAAGGCCTTGTTTGGTTTGGCTTTAGGAAAAAGATTTTAGAGAATTTTTTTAGAAATTTTGTTTGGTTTGTAATTTGGGGTTTTTTTTTTTTTAAGGTCCCTCGTATTAAGATTTTATAGTATAAAGGACATCTAATATTTTCATAATGTCTAAGGTCTCTCAAGTTGATCCAGAGAAAATTAGTCCAGAGAAAATTCATGTCACAGAGAAAATTAGTCCAGAGAAATTCTGGGAAGAATTTCTCTCGACCAACCTAGAGAAAATTCAGTTCAAAAATCAGAGAATTTCTCTAGTTTCAACCCAGAGAAAATTCAGTTCAAATAAAAAAAAATTCAGTTCACAATTTGGAACCTGGAATGCTTAATTTGGAAACCCAGAGAAAATTCAGTTCAAATAAAAAAAAAAATCAGTTCACAATTTGGAACCTGGAATGCTTAATTTGGAACCCAGAGAATTTCTCTGGACCAACATTGCTATTGCTATTGCTTGTGGTGAACCCAACATAACTGCAATTGTTCCAGCACTTTTCCATATAATCGCTAATGCTTAAGTCCGAATTACCGTCGCGCTGGCTAACAGTATTTCCTTCAAACCTCGCTTGCTTTTGCATGAACGTATCTTTCCTGCTCCGGCATGAGGGAAGCCCGAAATGACTCACACAACCATCATAACTACCCGATTGATACCCATAACAAAATAAATACAATGTAATAAAAAGACTACTACTATCAACAATATACCCCCCTGGCTCCAACTTCCACATCATGAACAAAGTATGTAAGATACTTTTCTTCTTTGTTTGATACTGGAAGAAGGTTGTGATGGAACGCAGAATTAGGACCATTCAACATAGGCATGCTCGGGAAATTTTGATATGACAAAAGCCCACTCGTCCAGTATCGCTGTCCATCCCGATAAATCACCAATTCACCTGAACTGATGAGCAGTTTGGGTTCCTCCCAGGTCAGCTTAAAGGTTCCCGAAGCACAACATATGTTTGGATACTGATGATCAACAACAACATCAACAACAATTTGAAGAAGAAGAAGAAGCAGACGGGTACCCCGAAGAATCGTTCCAAAGTTGGGCCAACTATGGAAAGGCTCTGAAGCAAACTTCGGCGAGGCTGATGGACCGAGTCTTAACTCGGTCACTCGATTCGGCCGAGTTGAAAGTGAAGGCTCGGAGCAATAACGAGATAAAGAGGACTCTTACTTGGTAGGACCTCATGTGGTTCGGCATGGGTACTGTGATCGGTGTCGGAATCTTCGTCCTCACTGGACTTGAGGCCAAAACCGTTGTCGGACCAGCCGTCGTCTTGTCCTACGTGGTCTCCAGCGTCTCCGCCTTGCTTTCTGTTTTCAAATTGTAAAGCACAGTTCAGGGGAAGTGCTGCTCTACAGTAGAGGAGTAGAGACAAAGAGTCAAATTTCTCTGATATATGTTTAGGGACCTTAGACATAAAAAAATAATTTTGTGGATCTCTTCCATTACGAAAAGTGGGAGAGAGACCCTAGACTAATTTTCCCTTATAATTTTTTTCAAAAAAATTTCAAATTTACTTTCTCTCTCCTACACATCAATCAATCACTTTTTCTCTCTCATTTCTCCTCTCTCATTTTCAATCACTTTTTCTCTCACATACATCTACTCAATTACAACAAAGGCCTCGTTTGGGAACAGGCTAATTTAGTAACTTTTTTGCTATTTGGCTAAAAAGGTAGGTAAAAAAAACTTATATGTTTGGGATAATTTTTTGGCTAATTACGAAAAGATATGCAAAAAGTAGAAAGAAAAGAGAATTTTTGACTTTTTGGTATGGGTTGTTGGCTTTTTGGCTAATTCAGTAACTTTTTTGGCTAATTGACTAAAATAGCCTCTTGCCAAATGAGGCCAAAATGTCAAATCATTCCAAACTCCAAAACTATTTTCAAAATATACAACCAAACAAACTACAAAAATTTCTAAACTCTCTTCCCAAAATATTTTTTGAAAATTTGTCTTCCAAAGTCAAACCAAACAAGGTCGAAGTGATTCAAAATAGATCAAAAGCTGAAAACTGATTTTTAATCATCTTTTCAAAATAGCCCATAGTCACGTAGTATCCCTTGATTAATCAATAATTTTTCATCAGAGAGACTGACCACAAGATTCATCCGTGTTTAAGGGCTCGTTTGAAAATTATTCAGTGTATTTGGTTTGAGTTTTCTGGATTAAATTTTTTGAAAACTGAATTTTTTGGTTTTCGTGTTTTTTTGTTTTTAGTGAATATTTTTTAAATTTTAAACATTTTTTTTTTACTTTTTTAGACGCACCTTACTTAGATGTATCTAAAAAGTAAAAAAATTGTGAAAAAAAGGGCATGCTAAACTTCATCCTTTACAAAATTTCCTGCCTACTAATAATAGCGTTAGGATCAAAATTTTACCAAATGTGCCATTACCTACATCAAAGAAAGCTAAAAGAAAGATTTAAAAGACAAAATAAAACACAGACAGAGAATCCAGAGAAATTCAGAAGAAATTCTCTGGTTGAATTTTCTCTGGATCAAATTTTCTCTGGATTGATGTTGAGGGACCTTAGACATTATAAAAATATTAAGTGTCCTTTATGCTATAAAATCATAATACTAGGGACCTTAGAAAAAAAACCCTTTAAAAAAATGTGTCAAAATATTTTATTTTTTTGACTATTTAACCTAGAAGGATCTGAAAAGCAATAAGATTTTAAAAATAAAAAATAAAAAATAAATAGTTTGTTAGCATAAAAACAAAATTAAAAAGAAAAATTGGCCTTTAGTATACTTTTTTTTATCAAAAAAAAAAAAAAAACTTTTTTGATCTGTCTAATAGAGTGGAACCTGAAGTGTAAAGTTTATTATTATTTTTATTTTAAATTCACTAAAAAATTTTAATCATCTTTAATTTTATGTAATTTATTACATTTTAATTCTTGATGTTAGTGCATCCAAAATCAATATGTAGATGTAGGATTACAAATGAACAAAATCGTTCGTAAACAGGCTCGAGCTCGACTCGGTAAAAGTTCGTTCGAATTCGGTTGGCTAATTTTTTTTGGCGTTCGAGCTCAAACTCGAACTCATTAAACTTTTTAATAAACAAACCCAAACATTGTGCCTGTTTGGCACAGCTTATAAATAGCTTAAATCAGCTTTTGACTTATAATAAATTATTTTGGAGTGTTTGGTTGAGCTTATGAGAGATAAATTATAATTTAAATTAATTAATTTTGAGCTAAAAGTTGTAAATTGCCTCAGAGGTGTTTTTTTCTTTTAGCTTATGTGCGCAGTTGGTTATGGAAGGGCGAAATGACTTAAATGCCCTTTCAAAAATTTAAGAATTACTAAAATGCCAATATATAAACTTGACAGTCAAACACTGTTCATGTTCGAAGAGAGAGAGAGAGCGTGAGAGGCGATTTCCGGCAATGATTTCAAGTTGTTCTCTCTCTCTCTTTCCGACGTTTGTTCATCGCTCTATTTTCTCTCTCTCTCTCTCTCTCTCCGGCATTGGTTCATCGCGAAGCCTTAGTTCGTCGCTCTCTTTGTCTCTGTCTCTCTCTCTTTCTTTGGCGTTGGTTCATTGCCATCGCGATCTGAACTAACGCCGTTGTCGCGAT